TCCCCTGACTTTGCACAAATTTCCTATGCAAGGAATACCATTGGATACGTAATTAGCCTGGAGAAGCACTTAATTTTCCATAAGCAGCTGTAACACTAAAATACTTTTCCCCCTAGAAAAAGACATCATTTTAAATCATCATAACATACTAGAACTTGCTGGCGCTTTGTAGCCACAGCCCTGAGTTTCAATCCTGATTCAGCCACTTTAACTTCAAAAATTTAGTTAAATTCTCTGGCATTAGCTTTCCATTATTTCCATAAGGCCAGCCCAACAGCTATCCTGAAGCTTAGAGACCATGGTTGCTTTCAACATAGTGTATGCTGTGTAGTTTGCACAAAAATGGCGACACTGTTGTTTTTAAATGTTTTCTAGACCAGAAGAATGAACTGCATGATCTCCACGTATCCACTGTTCATTGAATGCTGCAAACCACGGCAGTTTACCAGAGTCTCAGCCTCTTGTATGTTGTGTTTTTACTTACCCTTCTCCTCCTCCATTATTATCCCTTAAGACGCTCCTATTTTAATACTTGAAATACAGTAAGTATTTATTATGGAATTACTATGAAGTATTAAATGTTAAAGTAATATTTAATACTTCTTAATTTAATACTTCTCCTAGAGCCATGTCCCTGACTGCGTCCCTGGGGGGCTGCTCTAGGTGAGGGACTGCACTCTCCCACAGCCTCCCCTGGAACTCTAGATGCAAGAGGGACTTGTGAGATGGATAAGTGTTGGGGATCAAGAAGCAAGAAGATTGAGTTTGCACACCAACGCTGGAAAGGATCCCCTGCCCGCCATGGGCAGAATTAGAGCTTCTCCAGCCCCAGGGACACTGAGTTTTTGTGCAGCCCCTGGTGCTGAGTGCTTCTTGGAGAGCCCCTGTGGCCATGCATCAGAGGGTTTCCCTGGGCTCCACGCTGGAGTGGTGGTAACTTTCTAGGGGGTGTCCTCCATCTTAGTGTCCATGTTAACTACTGCTAGTCCCTTTGCTCAGCTAGAACAATCTCTAACCTCCCTGAGTGAGCACAGGATCTCCCGTGAAGCCTGGTGGCACAACTCTAGGCCAAGGCACCATAATTCACATGAAAGTGGAACGCTCCCTGTGATCCTCAGGCTCTGTTGGATCCGCTCAGGGCAGTTTCCAGGGGAATCACCTTGTCACCTGGCTAAAGGGCTGTCACCGTGCATGATCTGGAGCCCTTACACACAGCTGTGCCCTGTAAGTATGCTGTAGATAGCATTTCAAAGTCACAGGTGCCATTGAGATGACACATGAGAAATAAATTTTTGAAGGTGCTTTGTGAGTTCTAAAGTGCTGTAAAATAGTCATCATTTTAATACTTCTGCAGATTTTGAAAAAGATATAAACTCCATCATTTGAGTTCATGCTTTCAGAGTGAAAAAGACAACAGCAATATTAAAAATACAATTGAAGGAAATTTACATTTGTTTTCATCATGAATTTGCTAATGTGTATTTCTAATAATATAAGCAATAAATATTATTCTGTTTCCTCCATTAGATTATTTTTAGAATATTGAGTGTTATGCAAATAAGTAAAAATAGAACAAAGCATTCAGACCCAATAATATTAAGAGTGGTTTTCTCTGGTTGAAGGGGTTATAGGAATTATGTACTGTTTATTTTACTTTTTTGTTTTCTAAATTTTATATTTGTTCTGTTTGATTTTTTAAATATGAATCAGCTGTTTAAAACATAATGCAAAGCTATTTCCATAATGCTTTTACCTGCCTTAAATATTGAAAATTAATAATACTAATGTGATTCTGCTGTTCAAACAGTGGTTGTGGGAGGCCACTGTCCTCCATTTTCCAGAGACTTGTGTATCTTACAACACAGATTTCAAGCAAGTTATGAAATATAACATTAAAAAAATTACCATACGCATCATGGTATCATTTATGTTCAACCTATTACTATGAAAGATTTATGGCACCCTTAACAAAGATCCACTAATCTTTTTCCATTGTAATCAAAGTTGATTTTCTCTGTGGAATATACATCTTCAATGTTATTTTAACTCCTCATCTTATGGCAAGTTTAAATAATGTCCACCTAACAGGCCTGTGTAAGTGACCTATCAAGAAGAGTGCTGGCTCTGCTCCCCTGCAGGGATGCCTGGGTCAGTGCTCCTGAATAATATCTATACTATTGCTATTCCTGTCACAACTGAATGAATAGAACTTTCTTATGCAGTAAATTGCATATATGAAATACTTTTTAAATTGATAATCTTTGCTTTATTGAAGGCTTGTAATCATGAGCATGTCATTATTAGCATTAATTGTTGGTAAAGTATTCACAGCTGGTTTGAAGCAGATGCTGATGGTTTTGTTTCCAGTAGAGATGTAGTTTTAAATTCATCTCTCAAGCCAGTGTCTTACTCATTGATGAATCTCCTGCAGCTGCTGGATGTGAGTGTTCACAACTTGCTCTAAAACCTTCCTGATTTTTTTTTTTTTTTTTTTTTTACTAAATCACACTTCACATTGAGCCTCTATTAAGTTCGATTCAACCTGAAGCTCGCTGGCATGTTAATTCTGAAACTATTCTGAGGATGCAATTCAAAAGCTAAACCAATATTCCTATTATGAAAATCACAAAGAGATGCATCTTTCAGAATTCACTATCAAGGAAAACTGTGATAATTATACCAGTTATTTCAATTTTTGAATATCATAGAGAAGGATGATCATTCAGGATTCTTTGTAAGTGCTGGCTAGCAGCAACTGCAGAGTCTGATTTTTGGAATCATTTAATTTGTGTGTGTGTGTGTGTGTTTGTGAATGTGTGTGGGTGCGTGGGTGGGTGAGTGTGTGTGGGTGGGTGGGTGAGTGTGTGTGGGTGGGTGGGTGGGTGTGTGTGTGCACGCGCATGCGCGCACAGTGCTGAGGGTTGAACCCAGGGCCTGGTGCATGTGAATCAAGCACGCTACTAACTGAGCTATATCCCCAGCCCCATATCTAATTATTGCATTAGATTCAGCACACTTTTAATTTTTTTTCTTTATTCTCATGTACTTATTTTAAAATATTAGGCTTATCTGTATACTTCGACTAGTTTTTCTTCTTAAAGTAATATGTAGTAGAATAAGTAATAAAATCATTATACTTTTTTCCAACAAATAATTTACACACAGAAATACAGTATTACTGACAGAAAATGCACTTCAGATACGTGTTCACTTAAAGGTGCACATACAGAAAAAAAGCCCACTTCTTCTTAGGATTTCTACTGGTTCACTATTTTTAAAATCTGAAACAACCACACAGATTATGACATTGCTGAACTCTTTTAACCAAATTCATAGAAAGAGATCCATTCAGGTCTGGGGTAAGGATGTTCAACTGCTTTCTTCATCTGTATTTTGTGGTTATCACATTTTATTAGACAAGGAAGGACTCCAAGGTCCAGCATATCTTGTGCTGTAATTGAAGAGGGAAAGGTCGCTGTGTTCTGGTCAACAACTCCAGACACAGAAATCCACTCGTTTCTGGTGTCACTGCACATTAGAGGGACCACAGAGATGGGAATCCTGAAGAGAAGTTCCCAGCCAGGGAACTCTGAGGCTAGCATGCACACAACAAGGTGAAAGGAGTCTCGGATCTTGATTTTTAGATAGGGTTTTAGTCATTTTTTTTTTTTCATTGCTGTGACCAAAAATTCCTGACGAGAACAATTTTAAGGATGAAAAGTTTACTTGAGGGGCTAACAGTCTCAGAGATCTCAGTCATAGATGGTCAGCTCCATTACTATGGCATGGGGAAAGCAGGCCATCCTGGTGGAAGGCTGTGGCAGAAGAAACAGCTCCTAACATGGAACGGGAAGCAGAGAGAGACTACCCTCACCTCCAGCAAAACATAAACCCCAGGGGCATGCTCCCAATGGCCCACCTCCTCCAGCCACACTGTACCTGTCTACAGCTACCACCCAGTTAATCCCTATCAGAGGTTGATGCACTGATTCGGTTAAGGCTCTCATGACCCAATCATTTCACCTCTGAACCTTCTTGCATTATCTCACACATGAGCTTCTGGGAGACACCTCATATCTAAACCATAACAGATAGCAATCTCAGTGGCAGTGGGCCAGTTCCCAGGGTGCAGCTTCTGTCTCTAGGCAAATGAAACCTGCTCATAGACACCTGAGAACAAGTAACAAAAAGAACCAGCAAGACCTGCATGGTCTCAGCAGAGTCCTTAGACTGCCTGATGGGGCACAGCAGGCAGGAAAGGATCCTCCCTCAGCAAACAGGCTGGGTATGGCATGGGGGCATGGTGATGACGGCCTGGCTACTTTAATTTCTTGCTTTCTTTATCCACTGGAATGTTAAGAATGTTTAATCTACCTGGGTGGTTAAGGAGCTGGGGATCAATTCTCTTCCCTCTTCTGTCTTATGCCTTTGTGAGCTCTGAGACTTTGGATACTTGATGAATCTCAGATTGCATGAAGATGTTAGAATCACAAAGACTTGCTTTCACTGAGCACTTAACCTCACTGAGATGCAGAATATGTTCAAGAACAGTCTTATTCCATTCAGGCTGCTATAACAAAATACTATAGACTCGGTGTCCAGCAGAGGCTCAGACCCAGGAAACAGATTCAGGTTCCAGCAGGTGAAAGAAGACTCAAGAAGCAGTTAGGATAGTAGACATGCTGTTATCCAGGGGTGGCAACAGCCCTGAGTCAGGCCCCGGCTCCAGCTTCAGCCTCCAGCCAGTTCCATTTTGCCCATCCAGGACCATTTTGCCCCCCGAGTCTTTTCCAGAGGCCTTTAGTTTTGCAGGCCAGACCAAAGGCACACTGCCAATAGGTGACATCAGTGGATGCATGCTCACAAGCAAATGTTTGTGACCTTGATTGCATATGCTGGATCAGAGTGTTTATGACCTTGACTATGCACCAACCATAGCATCACTGATTCATGACCTGCACTACATACTAGAAACATAACCTAGGCTGCTGGAAGCCCAGACAGGGAAGCCTACCTATAGCCATCTGAGCTTTCCCCAACACTAGGTAGCTTACAAGTAACAGAAATTAATTTCTGCCAGTTCTGAAGCCTAAGTACTCAAGGCACCTGCAGACTTGACCTGAGATGAGGGCCTACTTCACATTCCTAGATGAGGACTTCTCTCTGTGTCCTTACATGGAAGAAGGGGCCTGGTAGCTCTGAGGGGCCTCTTTCACAAGGTCCCTGCTTCCATTAGTGAGGCCTCTTACCTCATGACCTAATCACTTTCACAAGGCCCACCTCCCACTACGATCCCTTTGGGGTTTAGAATTGGAACAAAGAATGGGCAGCACAAACATGGAGTCTGTAGCAGGAAATCTCCTAAAATGTCAAATAATGTACTTATCTTTCCTAGAAATTACCCATCTAGACATTTTTGTCACATGCCATTGTAGTGTGTTAAGTAAGTACTGTCCCTCCAAATCCACATCCACTAAGAACCTCCAAATGTGACCTGATTGGGAAATAAGATTTTTGCTGTTGTAATTAAGGATTGAAATGAGTTAGGGTTGGCCCTGAATCCAATGATAATGTTCTCACAAGCATAAGCAGAAAGATTTGGGGAAGAAGTCCAGGGAAAGACTAAGGCAGAGATTGGAGTAATCCAAGAACCACCAGGAATCTTCAGAAACCAGGGGAGCAAGGCCAGATTCTCCCCAGAGACTTTGCAGGGAATGCAGATATGCTGGTACTTAAGCTTGGTTCTGCTGGCCTCCAGAAGGGTTAGAGAAGATATTTCTATTGTTTCGAGCCACTCAGTTTGTGAGAATTTGCTAGTGCATCTGTAAGAATCTAATGTAGCCATCCAAAGACTACTTAGGCAAATGATTTCATGTGTGAAATGACCTAAATAGGTTTTTTATGATAATTTCTCTGATTTAAACAATTTTGCTTTGACTACCAGAAGCATTCAGAAGACAAGATATTTACATATACTACTGGTTCTTGTAATTTTTAAATTGTTTTTCATCAAAATAATAACTTGATGTTATAGTTGAAATGTCCTTTGGATAAAGGGGCCCATGCTTGTATTATCCCCTTCAGCTGGTGAGGAAGCAACCAAGAGTTTCTAAGTCCAGCAAATGTGTCTGAATAATGGGGGTTGAATAGTGGGCGAGGGTAAAGTGAGAATCGACACCCAGTGCAGATTCGGAGCCCCTTTGTTAGGAATACTTTAGGTAAAGCAGGTGCTTGCAGTCGCCTAGAGCTGGCATACGTAGAGGGGTTTGGGGATTGCACATGGCAGCAGTGTGGGTTGTGTGGTTAAGGGGAGACCCCAGAGCCTCTGCTGCTGTGTTGATGAAGGGATGGGGAAGTGGCAAGACGCTGAGACAAGTTGGGATGACTTTGTATTGGCAAGTCGGGCTCTAGCCTTACTGGCACAGCAAACTCCTCAGACAATGGCAGTCTGGAGCCTGAGGGCCAACCGATTTCCACTGGAAGCCCCGCTCTCCTGCTAAGCCTCCAGCCTACCGTGAGGATGTCAATGCTGACATCACACAGTGACAGGTAGACAGGCCATGCCCCAACACTTGTCTCGTCTTAAAGTAGGCAGTATGAAAACTGAGGAGCTGGGGCAAACTGAAGCTACATGCATGTCCTGAGTGTTTTGAAAACTAAGAACGGCACACAGCAGAGACGAAACACCTGAAGCAGTGGTGTTTGCTCCCACTTTTACACAGACATGAAAGGGTGTGATTTTACCTTTTATGATCTTTCTCAGAACAATGGACCCTGATTATTGCTTGACTTCTCCATTCACTTGGCATTTAATAATATTTAAATTTCTTTTATTGGTGCAAAAAAAAAGTTGCAATGCTCTAAACATGGGGAAAATAAATATGCAAATATTAACAAAAGATTTCACTGTTATACCTCTTGGAGATAGTATATAATGAAACTTTTGAGTTTACAGTTGTATTGTTTGGGTTTTGCCTTTCCAAATGCTAGAATGTAAAGGAGTGAAAAGAATTGGGACATAAAACATAGGAAATAATGAATGTATGGTAAATTTATTCTTTTAATTCTATTACCATCACAGAATGGCTCAGTGACTTTGTTCTCCTTCCTCTGAAGTGGTAAGGTCTCCGTCAGGAGCTCCTGTCATTCACATCTTTCCTAGGAGACCTTCCTACCATTTCTTGCGATGGAAATCTGCCTCCATGTTGCTAAGCAACACCGCCATTGAGACCTGCCACTCGATCCTATTTCAGTTTTCCCAGCTGAACACTTGCAATCATGGTATTCCAGTTCAAAATCATCTTCATTTCAGTGCACATTGGGAGAGAAGGTATGACATCACCAAAGGCAGCCTCACTCCCAGCCAAGACCAAGGAAAGCAGGGCCAAACCTCCAAAACACAAAGAGCTGTGGGAATGCCAAGGTGAGGAAGGACGGGCCAACATCATCAAGGAGGCCTTTCATTGCTCTCGTGATTATACAGAAGGAGCACTGAATTTGGGGAAGTAATTTCTGTATTCAATTTGTATTCTTCTCCTTCCTCTGCTGTGATGACAAGGGAATGTCTCCAAGTACCCAAGGAATTGAATGGGAAGCAGAGACAGGAGTGTATGAAGGGCCTGAAGGGGCAAGGTCCCCATCTCTCAAAAGCCAGTAGTGTCCTCTCTCCTCCCGACAGACACTCCCATCCTAACTCAGAGCGTGGGGGTGTTACTTAATGGGTGAGAGGGACTTGCAGATGTGATTGATTCTGACCGGAGTTTGTCCTGCATTATCAAGGTGAGTTCACATAGTTTCAAGGGTCATGGGGAAAGGAGGCAAGGTCAGAGGAGGGAAAAGGTGATTTGGTGCAGGACTGTCACCCAGGCACTAGAAACTGTTGGCCACTAGAAACTGGACCTGGCAAGGAAATGGATCTTCTTAGGGATGGAGCCCCACCAACCTTGATTTAGTCTCAGTCAGAGTTGTTGAGACCTCAGGCCTCCCCACCTGTAGGGAAGTACCCACGGGCTGTTTAAAGCCTCGTCATTTGGAATAATTCATCTCAGCAGCAATTGAAAACTGACTGATCTCTTGGCTCCCACTTCTTCCAGGCCCAGCCAGTAGGGTTCAGCTCCTGTGGATTCTTGCCTCCTCCCTGCAGGTTCCCCTCCCACTCTGAGGCTCTGGGAAGATGGTGACTGGTCTCCTTCTGTATTTAAGGTAAACTCCACTCAGTGATGGCAGAAGATAGCAAATCTATCATCAGGTTAACTGTTATCAGACCATAAGTAACAACTGTATAAGAATCAAAACTATCAAACCTCAGTTTTTATACTTAGAGATACAAGAAAGCTTTAGAAACCTCTCATCCTTTTCAGTAATAATCCTGTCTGTCCATATATTATACAGTTTCAAAGTATTCAGAATACAGGGGTTTAGTCTGCAATTCATGATGACTGTACTAGGTAGCTGCCCAGGAACTGATGACTTATCTTGAAAGATAAAGAAGCTACAAATGAAAGGCCAGAGAAGACCCCATGCTGCATGCCACTCAAACTGGGACCCACACCTGAGGCTTCTTATTCAAAATCTCCTATTTTCACTCTCTCATCAAAAATCTATGTGTAAAATCTCACTCTAACAGAGAGAGTTCACTGACCTTCCTGTTTATTCTGAAAACTTCAGGTTCATAGGATGCGTTTTATCAAAACAATTAGTTTCATCTCCCACAACTAATTAGTTATTAAATAACTAATTAGTTATTAAAAGAGACATAATAAACTAAATTTAGGTTTGATAAAAGCTTAATCATCAGCATATGGACTTAATCTTGCATGCTGGTCAGGTTATTCCTCAACAAGACAGAGTTCAAAATGTGAACCATCACACTACAGGCAATGGCAACAATGTACTTCAGTGACACAAGGTCACGGTGACAGGAGACATTTCTTCACCCATAAATCCAGGAGAGATGGAAGGTCTTTGTGAATGAGTCAAGAAATATCAGATATTGTAAAAGTACATATTATAAACACTTGGCATTTCAGAATCAATGCAGAAATCCTTATCCTGCTTTTATAATATACAAATTCAAACTTTTGCACTCAGGCAAAAGGGTTCGTGGGGAGATGAGGCCTTCCACACCATAAGTGAAGAGCAGGGCCAAGAGGGCAGCTTGTACTGGGAACAGGACAGAGATCATAGATGGGAACAGAAAGGGCCATTTCAGAAAATGAGCAACGAATTTATATGAAAGATGAGTGAGAGAGACCAGTAGGGGGTAAGATTGTGAAATTAGGTTGGCAGAGGCCTTACATCAGGCTACAACCCCTGTGTTTTGTTCATGGTAAGTGGACCTTTTTATTGTGTAAGCAGGACCACATTATGGAAAGGTTACTCCAAATGGAATGCATGTGGGTGACTGTGGGGGAGACGGCTGCAGATGCCTAGGACCGGGCAGTGGCCCAAGTGAGATGAAGCAGGGTGTTACGCTGTTTCCATTTCTCGTGCTAAAATGAGCAATAACTGCCAGATCCAGCCACAGTCCCTGGGCTCTGTTAGCACCTACCGTGATGACTCATTTATTCCTTGTGACTGATGAGTGATAGCTATTATCATCCCCACTTACACGTAGGGGCGTAGAACAGAGCGAAGTTAGCCTACTTGCCAATGTCCCACAACTGGCGGTCGGTGAGACTCGGTTTTGGATCCTGGACCTCTGGCATGAGCAGCTCTAAGTCTGTGCACTCCTCATAGGTAATAAAGAATACGCAATGTGTGAATATAAGAATATTCCCTGACGTGGAGCGAGGTGCTCCCTTTCTATATGAGTGTGTGTGGGGGGGGGCGGTGTCAGTGTGTGCTGTGTACGACACTCAGTTTTATTCCTGATGGAAAGAATGTGTCTAGTCTCATTTAGGAAGAAGCAAACACTTGGACAGAAACACTACCCTCGGGCTGCTGCCATCTTCACTGCCCTTTTGCTCCACGTCACTATTTCAGTGGATTTATTGAGTGCTTGCTGTTTGCCCCTCATTGAGACACCGACGACAGGATTTCTTGTCATGGAGCATGGGCTTCTCTGTGTTTAGATACCCTGGGTGTCCCAACAGGATGGGTGGACTAGGCCATCTTCTGTGTAAAGTCATTGATACTCTGTCTGTCTGCAGGTTCAAACTGGTTTCCTTTTCCCATAAGCATTAATATACCATGATGTATGCAGGAAACGCTCAAGGCTTTGAAGTGCCAAGTCTCAGTCACCGTCTTTCCAAAGCCTGCAGGGCTCTGCCTTCTCACAGTCAGGTCTCCTAACAGTGCACTGAGCTAATGGGCTGCTTTGTGAGTTGAATTCAAAGGTGGCATGAAACTGAGTGCGCTGTTTGATATTAAAATGGTTACATCCTAGCTACTTAAAATAACCTGATACTTAGTAACGTAAGGTAAGGGTGTTTCTCTCTTCAAACCTTTAGGTATTGAAATTGAATTGCCTGAAATAGTCTTGTCTTTAAATTACCTCTTTGACTCCTGGGTACATTCAACTTTGATTTGATTAATAATTGCTCTTTATACTTAGGTTTGGGCCATAACTAATACATTCAGCGACACTGAATGCACATGGCTTATTGGTAAGGTTTTGCATGTTTCAAAATAGAATTACATTTTCAAATTCTTTTTGGTATACTTGCTTCTCTTTTAAACTTTTTCTTAATTGTATTTTCCTTCTTATATGTCTATGTCAGATGTTTTTCACCTATATATCCTTTATATTTTTTCTTTCAACTTTGAGTCTACAGAAAGGTTTTCTAAAAAACGATTACAAGAACGTGAATATTACAATGATAAATGTTTTAGAAAATATTTATGAAGAAATATAGAAATGTCTGAAGAAATATGATATGCACATACAAGTCTTGCAAAATTATTTTTAAATTTGTTTGTATAAATGACATGGACAGAACATGAGAATTCAGTGACAGAAATCTCATAGTTCAAAACTGGGAGGTAAGGTTACTCGGGTCAGAGGTGGGCGGACCCTAAGCCATGAAAGATGAAGAACTTTCCCCAGTGAATTCAAAGGCATTTTGGAACAACTGAACTACAAAAGAAAGAAAGATTATGTTTGTCTTCTGTTATCATTTCTATTGTAATAGAAAGGAAGACATAAAGAATCTTCTCACATTATCTTTCTTTACAGAGCCTTGATTTGCATTTGGCCAGTGCACCATCTGACAATATTAATTGGATCATCCTCTGAGGCACCTAAAAATAGCTACTGAACATTATGCACAACCAGGCCAAGCCACCATTTCTGAAGGAACAAATCCTTCTGGAAGCAATGTCACGTAGTCTCACGCACGTTAGGAAAGAATGACTGCTGTGAATAACTGATCCACAGGGAGAACCACACATTATGTAAGTCTAGAAAGGAAAGAGTAATAATTTTAGATGCCTGGTGCATTAATCTTCTGGAAAGGACTGAAATAGATGATTTGTTTTGAGAATCATTTTTATCCCATGAATATTTCAGTTCACATCTTTGTAAGAGGAAAAAAAAAAAATCCTCAGTCAATTCCTTGCTGCTGGCAGCATGTGGTAGGAGGGGACGTTAGATCGTGAAAGAGCCGAGTTTCCCGTCTCAAAGCTGGAAGGAAATTACCCTTCCTTGGTTTCAGATTCCCATCCCTAATCACTAATTTCTGCAATCATGGAGGAAGTAGATGAACTGTGGAATTGGGAAATTTCATTTTCCAGCAACGTGCTCGTAAAAGGCATGCAGAAGAAATCCATTAACCTCTCTTCAGAAGCGATGGGGGAATTAACTGCTGTCTGAGCAGCAGCATCCCCGACTAAGAAGCCAAGGCCAAGGGTCCTGGGCTCCCTCAGTTATCTCCAGGAACAGAGCCTTCGCCCTTCAAAGGCTTCCCACAGGGCCACCCGCCCACAGGAAAGGACTCCTGGAGATTCTCCCAGCCTGGACTGGTGTGTCTTGAAGGAGGGAATAACTATGAATAATAAGTCGGTGCTAACATTTGATTCTGAAGGAGATTGCCATTAGCTGCACATCTTGTCCAGTCTGCTCTCATTTCTTTGGGGCTCTATGGGATGTCCCATCCTCCACAAGTAGCTTCTGATTCATTTAGTTTCTCACAGGATTTTGGTAATTTTCCTCTGTTTCCTCCCACCATTTGCACTCAATGCTATTATGACTCAGAACTGACACTCATCTTCTTTCTCCTAGAACGTCCCTTCCCCACTCCACTCACTCTCAGTCAGTAATGCTTGCCTAATACCCCAGCCCAGAGCTTCCTGCCCCAGGAGTCTGAGCCCTGCTGGTCAGGGCTGCCCAAGTGGCCCCTCAGCCACCCTTCTTCCTCATAGCAATGAGGACCCTCCATCATCATGGGAACGGGCACTCCTGGCATTGCCTGCTGGTCTGCAGACCAACCAGGTGTGCTCAGACATGTAATTCTAGTGTGCTGTTGATCTACCAGGCCGTACCTGCTCTCCTGTAATTCACCCTCCTCTGCAGCAGATGCTCTCTTGTGAACATCAACCAGGGACACAAACAGCTGTTATCTTTCTGCCCAATATCTTACTGCAGCTACCCGCAGTTCTCTGTCCCCTAAAGAGGTCATGGCTGCCTGTTGAAATGTGTGGGTTCAGGTTCCTGATCAACAGCTAGGGCCTGTGCTGCTGGTCGGGACCTGTGAAGGTCTTATGTAGGTCAGCACCTGCGCCTCACCAACTTGATGATCTGGATCTCCGCCCACTGTCCCTCAGGGCCACAGTTCGTGGGACCCCACTGTAGCAGCAGTGCATCCTGGGCTTGCACCAAGGTGTCTGTTCAGCCATCTATGAGCCGGGCCTTCACTTTTCTCTTTTTTAGTGCCTGGTGATAGGGATCCCCCAAGAAACCACAGGCACAAGCTGAGAGCGAGCCTTGGGGAGACAGAGTTGTACATGCAAGTTTCTTGTGCCCCCCACACCTGATTGGGCATGACTCGAAATGCTTAATGGCAAACGCTGCCATGACTTGCTGGTTTGCATAACACCTGGTCACGACGGGCAGCTCTTCTTGCGTACTCATTCCATGCTTCAGGCTCAGTGCTCAGGCCACAGGGCCCAATAGCGAGTCCAGAGCTGCCTGTCAACCATTTGTTACATTTGGCACGTCACTGCTCTGAAACCCTGAGATTTCTACC